TTGAACTTGCCAATATTCGCAATTATGCGAATAAGTAGTCAAATTAAGCAACCTTGTTAATCCGTTCGCTACTTATATGACGAATCCAATTTCTTATTCTCAATATAAGAATGCTCTAGTTAATATCTGACGTATTAAAAAAAATTATGAAAATTTTAACTACACTCGACGCAAAATTAAAGCAAAAAGTATAGCAAGAACGACGCGAAAGGATTCTATACTTCACATTTAGTGCTTCCTTCGCGCTAGAATGCGAGAAAAACGCTTTGATTTCTTTCAAGCGCGCGTTTCGACTTTTGCGATGGTGCAAATGAGAACGTTTAAGGGATCATAGTCGTCACGTACATCTCACAGAAGATATCTCCATCCATTTTTTTCTTGATCCGTCTCTCGCAACGGAGGAGAAAGAGATAGAGACACCAATCTGCCGCGTTGCATCTCAGCGATTTGCCTCGTTTTACTCTCTTGAAAAGGTGCCGCGGATACTAAAAGCTTCAAGCTTGCCGGTGTCTTTTTTTCGTTTAGGAAGGCTTTAGAAAGATCGGTCGAGACGAGCACAAGAATAGTAAGAAAACACTGAGGAACTCCACGAAGATAAAGCGCCGAGAGAAAGAGCCACTGTTACAGTGGATCGGTATGTGCAACTGTATGTGTGCGTGTCCGCGCGCGCGCGGGCCGCGCGTGTGTGTGTGTGTGTGTGAATTTTTATCTACTTGTCGCGAAAGGCGTTTTATAATCTCTTGAAAATTGCACACTTTTAAAATCGTACTTTTGTGTCAGTGACGGTAACTGCTTCCGTTTCCTTTCATTCATTATGATCGCTTTTCACTTCGGTTCCCTTGTTAGTTGATTATTCGACGAATAAAATTTTTATTGTGAGATATTAATTTATTCGATTTAACTGCTCTGAAAACGTTGAATGTATAAATCGTTTCGATTATGCAAAGTTATAGGCTGTAATCCTGCAAGTTATGGTTGCAACTGTTGTATAATACTTTAATCGTATAATCTTATGGATTATATACATGTAGGTTGCATATATATAATCCTCGTTATAACTTGTAACTTTTTTATTTCTAATTTTTTTCTTCTTCTTTCTTCTTTCATATCAGTTAAAATAAATTTGACATAGACATAGTATATAATTATCATTAATACATTTGCCATTTTTGAACCTTCATTAAATTTTGATTAGGATGTATATTTTATAAAAAATCTTTCTGTATAATATCTATAGAAACTTAGTATTGATATTTGCAATTAAAATGTTAATGAAAATGTCAGTGAAAAGGAAGAATATCGAGTCGAAAATTAAATATTCTGTCTGATCAGTTTCAGGCTTTACTACTGAATCGTACCATTTCAGATAAAATGTACAGTTAAATGAACTAGTTGTACAAACCTTGCTAAACTAAATTTCCTTAACAACATATAAACTTTAGAAGTTTATTAAATGATGTATACGCAATTCTGTGTATAATTGCATAATTAAAACAAATCTAAAGTAATTTCAAAGGGAATAAAAACTATATTTGAAATTAATATTTATCAAAAGAAATGCGTATTTATCTTAAATGATATCGATAGAAAATATGTGTCTCTTGTAATAAACTGTTATTCCTGTGAATATAAATAAAATTCCTCGATAAAAATCGAGAAATTAAAATTTGAGAAAGAATTTTACGATCCTTAATCAATGCGAGCAATATTCATAGAAAATCGCGCAGTTTCTTTTTCTCAATATGTTTGATATGTTTGATAACTTTATACGACAATATGTTTGATAACTTCATTCTACATTGATAACTTTATTCTACATGAGAGAAATGCATGTATATATACATATTTGATTCCGTTTTTGACACTATAGTGTTAAATATGCGTAAAAATAAAGTACTGAAGTCTTAATTAGTGACGTGTTAGCGGCAAAGTACTTATGCATCAGTATGAGTTACATACCTGGAACTTTAGTTTACAATGGACGTTAAGTTCTCAGTTGCTGGTACACATGCTTCTTGCGATGAATATAAATGGGCTCGCGATAAATAACCATTTCACCCATTTTTCGCATTTTCGGAGACAGCAATTTTTTCCTGCAGTTTACAACGATATGATTTAAATTTATATTTTGAACTATTAATTTTTTTGAGTCTTCTCTGCATATGTCTGCATGTCCAATATTTTTTTTATTAATAAATATATAGTACAATATAATATTACATATATGCAATTTTTGTTTTTTCCTCTGCATTGACGTATGTACACTTTTCTACTTTTAATGGATACAATCTCAAATGATGCAAAATTGTAATAAAAAGGTTGAAAATCCTTTTATGATGTTTTACATTGAATTTTACATTAATAACAAACATCAAACTTACAAGTACGCTAAAAGATATTCCATTATTGCAACGTTTCTTTATAACTACGGAAAATGCATGCATAAAGCTCTTTTATTACTGTCTATCCGTGGTGTACAAATATGCGAGTCTGTTTGCCGACGGGCCATAGTTCTGGGGATGTGGTGGAGTACATAAAAATAGCGCATGTACACGTATAAAAAAGTATTAACTGCGCGTGTACACCGAACGGCAAACAACCATTGCCCAGAGTGTTTTTGGACCAACCATGAAGTGTATTCGATTTTGTTGTGTCTGTATAAAATTACACTGATAAAAAAAAAAATAATAAAAATATATAACGGAAATAATTCGCGCATGAAAGCTCGCGATTCATATCGCAAAAGCATATTGCTGTTTTATCCGTACATATTTTATACCTAGAATAAATTACTGGATCGTAAACTATAAGATGCCGTAGAATAAATTAAATAAGATAATTATACTGGCTGGAAACATTAACGCCACGGTAGTATTGCAAGAGTCAGAGTATTAGAGTATTATACCGCCCAAACATTTAATTAAGCTACTTAGATGCGATTCGGCTGTCTGCAGATGCAAAATGTTATTTAACAAGAAAAATCTGTAAAATATATAATATAAAAAACGGCTTGTTAATTTTTTGTTGGAAATCGCGAAGTGGAATATAACCAATATGAATGTTTTTTTTTGTAAAATTTGAAATTTGAATTTTTACATTTATATAACTATTAGTTTTTTTTACTTTTTTCTTTTATTTCTGTTATTTCTGTTATTTATTTTTTCCTGCATTAAGCGCAACAATATAAGAGAGAAAAATTGTCCTATATTTATTCTATTCAGTTGAAAACTGGTTATATTTATTTTACTTTTCTATGGTCTTATATTTGAATAGACATTAATTATTTTTTGAAAAAGAGAAAGTGACATAATTTTATTAATTAATTTTTATATATTTTATATATTTTTCTATCATTATACATATTATGTTATTTTCGTATAAATTTCATAATAAATTTAGCGTTCTTGCTATATTTTTTATATTTTATATAAACGAATAGTAAATATTATATTAGATTTACTTACTTTTTATCAAATTAATATTACATTTATCACATATATATAACGAATTTTTCAATAAGATTTTATTAATTATATTTTTATATTTCATATCATTTAATTTTATATCATTTTCTACAAGATTAAAATGCTGCTTTCGTTCCTAATTATCGTGCATTTATTTTTGTATGTATATTTTTGAATAAATTTTACTTTCGTATTATTTGATCCACTATTTTGCCGTTATTACATGTTTTATTTTTTGTTCAATATCCAACTGTAACGCTTTCTATAAAAACCGAGTAATTTTCTGCTCTCTTTTTGCGGCATTGCTATAATCGACGATCAATTGAGAAAGATGCATTCATTCGGGGTTATAGATTAGTAAGGTTAATTCGGCAGCATACAAATTTTCCGTTATCAAATTTTATTTTACAACTGGTCACATATGTGGTGTTAAAAGCGCCATAGTTAAAATAACACAAAATAATGGCGATGCGCTGACGCGCGCGCGAGCTTTAACGCGTTTAATCGCACGTCAAAGCTTTATCCTGGGAAAAAATCACCGACACAACGTTCATGGGAATTATTCGACGAATCATCTACCGCACAATTCGCTCGTGTGCGCGCGTATGGCATGACTTTAAGCTCTAATTAATCGATTTATGCGCGATATATATTATAAGCGCGCTCAATGCTGCGTTCGATAGCGAAAAGCTTGAGAACGAAATGGTAATTTCGATATTCTGCGAAAAATAAACATTTGTATGTGCCACTAGCAGGCGTTTACGCGTGGCTTATTGAATATACGCTATACATTTGCATTGTAAATTGCCGTACCGAACATATATTGCATGAATCGCATTGGGTGCCTTGTTATTCTTCGCTCTCTTTATTTTTCGAATATTACTAGGGAGACTTCAACGTGAAATGCATAAAATTGTTTCCATGCTCGGTATTAAGCACTTATCTTACTAAACCGAGGCAACTTAATCTTCAGATACGAGCAAGAAAAAATTATCCTGAGATAAGTCGGGCATTATTGAATTTCTCGTATGTGCTTAAATAATGTATGTAAAATAAAGTTTCTATTTTCATATTTAATGCATACGAAATGAAATTGGAGTGAAACTTTCTTGGTGGAACGAAAGAACGAGAACTCTCTTTTGATCAGTATTTGCCCGCGTGATTCTAATAAGAATCGGCATGTACATTTAATGGTTTCCTCTTAGTTTAACGACCTCGAGGTGCATTACCTCGACTTATTTCGAGCGGAAAACTCGCGCCCGATTCACACCCGCGGAAAAATACAGGAAACGGCGGACGGAGAGCGCGCAAAAAGGCACCGGTACGCTGACATCTGCCAGAGCCAGTCCGGAGCGACCCATTTATTTCCACGGGATTACCCGAATTTCAGATTCCCTTATCGCTCTGGCAACGCGCGCGCTTATGCGTTCTCCGAGCCGACTCTAATTAGCGCCCGATGCTCGCTCTCCCGCGAGAGCGGCGGCATCGCGCCGCCCGCTGCCGTTTCTTGCCGTTGAAAATTCACCGGCTGCTTACCTTGTAATTTCCCACTTTCCTGATGGTACAAGAGAGAGCAACCTCTTTGCCGATGGCGGCGGTCACATTGCCGATCGGCTCGGAAAAGCTCGGCACATCTGCGAACCGAAAGAAGCCTTGCATTAATGCTTTTAATTAAATTCAAGCATCCTGAGATTCTTTATTCGCATAACGTGACTCCTTTGTGATACCTTATAAAAATTCCATCGGAACTTTTTTAAACAAAATTCTAAAAGGGAGGATTAATGCTGCTCTCTCATTTGCGTTTCGAAATAGAATGTCCGGATAAAAGTTGAGCTGTGTTGTACAGAACTTGTTGAAACTCTTACGAAACGCAATTTTAATGACATTCTTTGTGGCAGGTGCAGAGCAATTTTTTAGCTAAATATTTGAGGCAGATTATCGTATTTGGCACTTTTTTAATATTCATTATTATTGGATATCTTGGTAATGAAATGTCAATTATATTAAAATTTTGTACCTTCAAATATATGGACTGACAATGTATGAGTATAAAAGTTATATGTGGAATTATCAAATTATATGATGTTGTTATTCGTTCGCTGAATATTTTATTGAAAATATTTGTAGAGAAATATGCTACAAAATAGAAATATGCACAACAAAAATATAATGCAATAAATAAATATATAATATCGCGATATGAAAACATCAAGATTGAAAACATCAGGATAACTTTAAATAATTCTGCAAGAAAAAACATTGTTGTTTATAAAATATTCCGATTGCAAATATCGTAAATTATAATTATCGCTAATGATTGTTACATTCTGTATACGTTATACAATAACATTTCTGCGCGGCATATTTAAATAATAATAAATAAATATTTTGCGATATATTCATATTTTGATAATATGTAGAGAAACGATATGTCACGTCGAGATTATGAAACTAATATTGCTAGTTCAATTTATATTATTCCGTGTAATGTAAAATAATATTTTAAAAATATTTAGCCTCGTATAAATATATTATTATATGAAACTTAACGCGTGCATTGCTTTGACATATATTTAATGCCACTCGAAGCAAATGCAAGCACTTCGATGTTCATGATTCGTTATTCTCGTTAAAGTACACGTGACGGCGCAATAGCGACGATTAACGGCTTGTTGACGCGTATAATACCATATTTCGAACGGTGAAATATAGTTTTAATTTCCTGTCAAGCCTCAAATTGCAGCTCGTTGACATAGATGACGATGCGCCGAGTTGCTCCATGCATAAGAATCGTGGTACGGGTTACAAAATCGATATAAATATAATAATGAATATTCATAAAAAAAACGCCAACTGTGAAAGACGTTGATGAATTCTTCATGACAATAGCGTTAATCTAAAATATATTGTGAATACCTCGTTCGTGGTTTTCGTGAACATACATGTAGTTTACAATAAGCTCACGCGCGCTCGCATATGTGCATCTAATGCAAATGCCTCATACAAAGCGGTGCGAACATACCATAGCTTACAATGTGCTTCGTACATTGCCACGTAATCTAAGCATGAAGATAACGAAAGGAATTACACATTTATCAACTAGTAGAACCCAGCGAAAATTTGCATGATATATTACAAAAGTGTCACTTAATTTCCGATTACGCCATTAAGATCTGAGAACTTTAACTGTCACATCTGGTGAGTAAAATCATAGAACTGTTAGTGAACTCGCTCCTTCCACTTGCGAATGTGTAAAATTTCGCGTAAATGTCATTTGGTGCGGAATCTCATTGTTTAATGTAGAAAAGACTTATGTGATTTTTCAACAAGTATTTTCACGTAAAAAGTTTTGCTCTTATCATCTTTCTATCTCTAGAGGAAAATTACGTAATTGATCTCCCAGTTCTCCAATTTTCCTGTAATAAAAGAATCTAGAGATTCATCCCTCTTGATTCATCCTTCCCGCTCTCGAGAACAATGCACTGGCTTTATTTTACGAAAGCACCGGCGATTCTTTCCAGCCGGCAGGAACCGTAAAATCGAGCCGGCGAATATGATGCGAAGGAAAAAAGTGCAAGTCGAAGTTGCAAGTATTACGCTACACATTTTTATAAACGAAAAATCGTTCTTGTCGGTAACATGGTGAAGACGGGAGATCCGAGAAAAAACGAAAAGTTTAAACAAACAATGGCTACATCGCGCACAGACACGTGGTGCGATATTGAAACACGCGCGAAGTCAAAGTTTGCAAATACTGTCTCATCGCCGAGTCATGCTTTTGGACGATGCATCGGGCGCATAGCATCCGGGAGCATTCCCGATGTCTCGCGGCTGCATCGAACAGAAGCCGTGACTACAATCTGTCGATCGACTAAACCGAAGAGGCGATATTGCCAGATATTTCGAGATATATCAAAATTGTATTTGAATCCTTGCGGCTGTTTCATAGGTAACAAAGCGACGAGACGAAAGCCCAAGAGTTAGATGTGTCAGAGAGTCACGGGGACGATCTCTGCAAGCATAGAATATCGGCGCGATATTATGATAAGATATTCACTGACAGAAACAGGAGCAGAAAGGAATTTTTAGCTTCTACCACCATCCCCGCGATCGTATCTAGAATGTAATATAAGGAGACGTGGGGGAAAATAGCGATGTTACCCGTCTCGAGTGGCCTCGTCTACGGGGGTGGAACAAGGAGATGAAGGGAGGAAAGAAGAAAGAGAGAGAAAGAGAAGGAAAGAAAAGTTACCAGCAAGAAGCAAAAACGAAAGATCGAAAGAGAGAGAGAGAGGAGAAAAGAGCTGCAGCGATCCCCCTCTCGAGAAGGATAATGCCACGAACGGTGGCTGTGTATGTGTGTGAATTCGCGCATGCACACTCGTACTGGTCTTATTTTATGGCGAAATTATTCTGAGAGAAAAATAATTCAATCTCGCGGCACATAGGTTACGATAGCCGGCATCCATGCTCCTGTATTCGAATATATTGGTCGCACTTGCGGATTCGAAATATCGATCGAAGAACGAACTCGGCTTTTACTTTCGGTTCTCGATATCGGCGCATATCGATAATTATATGAAAAATAAAAAGACGGACATGACTCGTCAGAAAAATTGATTGCATCGCTTGTTTTGCTGTATCTTATGTTTATGAGACGAGAACAATGATAGGAATGTGCGATAAATTGTATATATTTATGCGGCACGCTCGACCTCGATTTTTAGGTATTTTTTTTAACATTATTATAAAAGAAATTATTTATGCACGTTTGAAGCAAAATTTAAAAGACGCTTTGAATGATGGCGCAATGCGAATTTCTAGCTCGAGTCAATTGGTTCAGATGCTCGATTTTACGTATTATAGCATAAGATGATTGTAAAAATGTAGTAAATATTACATCTTTTAGAAAAATCTTCATTTTAAATATGCGTAATTTATAATACAGTATTTTTAAATACATGTAAAGAAAATAATATAATAAATAAATATTTCCAAAAAATTATTTGAAATGTCACAAAATTATTTCGGATTTTTAAGCAAAAGAGAACATGTGCATGTACAGTGTTTTATACAGAAATCCTATATAGCAATCGAATATAGTTAAAAAATCAGATTTTGTAGTTGTAGTACGAAGAATTCAAAATCGTTATTACTCGTAGTTTAAAAAGCGTTGGTTAAAAAAAATTTTTTAAATGTATATTAAATTGACAAAAATATCGAAACTTGCAAAACAGGTAAAGTAAAATGATGTCGGAAAGCTTTCTCTCGAAATATTTACAAATTTAAAATATTATTTTTCTTTTATATTTAACTTTTAGCGCGTGGTATTTTACATGGAAATATTTTGGAAAATATGAATCTCTCTGAATATGTATGTTAAATGAAAATTACTGATATAGAATTAAATCAGATAAAGCAATTAATGAACATGTTAAATTAAAATTATTTCCTATTCACAATACAATGCTTATACCGAACATAATTTTAATCTAACAATAAGTTTTAACATGTTTTTATTTTTATAAAGTTAATGTATTTTATATTGATTTTATACAACATACATATATATATATATATATTTTTTTTTGTTTTTACATTTTGGTATTTACATTCATTACGATCGAGATCGTTTGTAAGCTATCGGCAAGTGCGGTAGAGAAATAAAAATAGTAGCGGTCAGTAGTAAAAGTGAGGCACGAATCAGACGCGGCATCGTTATTCCCTTCCGCATCGTAAAATACGTAACTACGTTAGCGGCTTTAAGCAATCGAGATTCGAATACGATAAAACGGTTGTACTGTTTCTATAGCAGCTTCTCTGCGGGAAGTCTCGGCGAGAAACTTGATATCAAAATAAATGGGCGTACCGTATCGCGCGACGCTGTAAAGAATCTGAGAGAATTCGGGCGTGTACGACGTTAAACCAAACAATATTGTACTCGTGATACATGTGAACACATTAGGTATCCCAATCGAGCTATAAATCCGTCACATCCCAGAGCATTTTTTTTTTCTAAACGCATAGTATATAAATAACTGTGAAAGTAATAAATCTCTCGCACAATTTTTGCAAAATCATTTAGTTTTTCGACAGGATTGTCATTTTTTTGAATGATGGAAATAGAGTTGATTGGAAAAATGATAACGGTTTGGAAGAAATTTAAAAGTGAAGAGGTCAATGCAATTGATGAAACTTCATGAATATAATTTTAAACGTTATCAAAGTGGAAGAAGTTATCTAGCAAACGATAATTGTACCTTTCTGTCCTTTAGAATTATACATTTTCATTTGATAAATATTCTTCCTCATTGTTCATAAGTTTTGAAAGTGAACTTATCGATGTAATGAATTAAGAACATCAGCCAAAAGCATACTGAGAGTCAATAGTGTTTCATCATCCGTGAATTACACGATATTTCGATAGGTGAACGGTTAATCGAATCGGCTAACTGTGTAACGGTGGTTAAAAATAACTGAAGAAGAAGGGCCAATATCTGCTATACACTATGTACGCGCGCGAACAATAACTTTACCGAGTTATCGCAGTTTTCACATCGATTGTAAATACCAGATAGCTCCTATATGCGCGGAATTTTCGAATCGAAATAAAATAGAGGGACTGAACGAGATT